TGGAAAGTTCAGTTAGAGAAACTGAAAGAAGCATGTTTGATCCTGAGGTGCAACTTAAGTTGAGAGAGATGGAGATGAATTTAGAATTAGAGAAAGAAAGGAATGTGTTGGAGAGGGAGAAGTTGGAATTAGCGAAGCAGCGAGAGAAGAGAATAATAGCAGAATTAGAATTACAGAAGCAGAAAGTTGAGTATATAGAAGGAAGAGGTGATTGTGCAAAAGCAAGAGTAGGTATTCCAACAGTCATGCTAACCGATCAAGGCACTCAGTTTACATCGGGGCTTATGAACCAAGTCAGTAAATTACTATCAGTGAAGCAAATTACTACCACCCCTTACCACCCTGCCGCAAATGGTTTGGTTGAACGGTTCAATGGTACGCTAAAGCAAATGCTAAAGAGAATGTGCCAAGAAAGACCAGCGGATTGGGATATGTACCTAAAGCCATTGCTGTTCGCAGTTAGGGAAGCCCCACAGGAAAGTCTAGGGTTTTCGCCTTTTGAACTCTTGTACGGCCGTAAGTTGAGGGGTCCGGTTGCTATTATTAAGGAATTAATGACTGATGAGTCTCCAGCCACTGAAACAAAAACTACTTACCAATATGTCCTTGATTTAAAGAGTCGTCTTGAAGAGACTTGTGGTGCAGCTCAGGCGAACTCAAGAAGTCCTCCCATAGATATAAGAAATATTATGATAGAAAATCCAAACCTCGTGAGTTGAAGGAGGGTGAGAGAGCTTTGTTATTGCTTCCCACGGATAGCAACAAGTTGCTTTTAAAATAGAGGGGTCCATATAAAGTGGTTAAGAAGGTGAATCGTGTAAATTACACGCTTGATTTGGATGGTAAAATGAAGACCTTCCATATTAATTTGTTAAAAAATTATGTGAACCGAGAGGAGTTGTTTCCGAATCCTAATCCCTCAGTAGTTTGCTCCGCTGTTATTGAGGCTGATGATAATGTATCTTGTGAGTCGGAGTTGTCTAATTCATCTCTGTTGCAGCCTGTTCCTCTTGAACAGAAAGAATTTGTAAGTGATGTCAAGTTAGGTGACAATTTGTCAAGTAGTCAACGGAATGATATGAAGTTGTCGATTAATGATTTTTCAGATGTTTTGACAGATTTGCCTGGATACACTCACTTGATATAACACAAAATTGAGTTAACTGTTTCTGAACTTCCCAAGGGAAGGCCTTACCCGATACCATATGCCTTACGAGATTCAGTAAGGGCGGAAGTAAAAACCATGCTGAGAAATGGGGGTAATTGAGGAATCTAATAGTCCATTTGCCAGTCCCATTGTTTTAATTAAAAAGCCTGATGGGTCCAATCGTTTCTGTGTTGATTATCGGCTGTTAAATAAAGCAACTGTCTTTGATGCCGAACCTATTCCTGATATTGAAGAATTATTCATAAAAGTTTCTCATTCTCAGTTTTTCACAAAGATTGACTTGACAAAGGGGTTTTGGCAGATACCTATGGAGGAACAATCGAAGGAACTTACTGCTTTTATTACACCGGATGGTTTATTTCAATTTAAGGTTCTACCCTTTGGGCTAGTTAACGCACCAGCTACATTTACGCGTATGATGAGAATATTGGTACGGAATATGGAAGGGGTTGTCAATTCTATTGACAACATTTTAATTTATTCAAACACTTGGGAAGAACATTTGCAAAAGGTCAATATTGTGTTAAGTCGCCTAAGGGATTCCCATATAACTGCTCGGCCTACCAAATGCATTATGGGTTGCCATAGTATCGAATTTTTAGGACATGTTGTATCTTATGGGAAACTTTCCCCTAGACCAAAGGGCGTTGAAGTTAACAAAATCTTCCTAAACCTGAAACCAAAAAACAATTAAGATCATTTCTTGGTATGACAAATTATTATAGGAAGTTTATTTCAAATTATGCAGCCATTGCTGTTCCTCTTACTGACAGAACTCGTAAAAACCAACCCAATATTATAGAGTGGGACGGAAGCCCAAATATTGCGTTTAAGGTGTTGAAAGAAAAGATTGCCAATCCCCCTATTTTGAGGCTTCCCAATGTGAAGGCTCCTTTCATTGTGAGGACAGATGCATCGAATGAGGGACTGGGGTGTGTATTGATGCAAGAGGGTGAAACTGAAGGTGAAATATTTCCAGTTGCGTATGCAAGTCGTAAATTGCTACCCAGTGAGAAAGCTTATTCAACTGTCGAGAAAGAGTGTTTGGCCATTGTGTGGGGAGTCTTGAAATTCGAACAATATTTATATGGAAAGCAGTTTGTTTTACAAACTGATCACCAGCCCTTAACTTATTTACGCAGTTCTAGAGTGTCTAATGGGAGATTAATGAGGTGGGCACTTGCACTCCAACCATATCGGTTTAGAATTGAAAGCATCAAAGGTAGTGATAATGTTGGTGCGGACATGTTAAGTAGATGTTGAGGCCATAGTTGTTGTATGATGTTTGGGTCCTGGGTACGACCTAAAACTGCATCCAAATTATTTTATTAATATGTATTATATTTATTTATTTGTTTATTAATTGGTATATTATTGATAGTGTTCATGTTTTATAATGTCTTGTGGAAGTAAAGTATCTTCAAATAATTCTTTATATATTTATTTAGTGTGCATTCTATTTATTATCTTTAATTGTGTATTGAGAGTATTGATATCTTGATTATTGTACAAATTTGGTGTTGGATTGTTTGTTAAAATAAAAAAAAAATGTGTAACTGACGGCAGTTTATTGAAGTTTGCAAGGTAAATTGAGATGTTATGGTTGTTTGCCAAAGATTTAATTGTAATTATTATAACTTTGGATTGTGTTATTGTTATAATGTCGAAAATTATAATAAAAATTTGGATTTGTACTTTTGATTTAAGTATTGATTGAATGTTATATTTTTGTATGCAATGAATATATTTATAATCATGATCTTGATGTTTCTATTGTACCGTAATAATTGTTATAATGTTTTTTTTTACAATTCATAATCGAACCCTTTGACTTTGTCCCATGTCATACAATCCATTCTTAATTGGGGGGTTGTCACGTTAAGTTATGTGCTATGGTGTTTTATGCCATTGTTACATGTACAGGTGCCACGCACCATTGATATGTAAACAGTTAAAAGAGCTTGGCTCTTTGTGATTCGGGGAGTGATTGAGTGCGGTAAAGGCTTGGTGTTGGTTCAAAACGGTCTGTGACCGTAGTTTGATAAGCCAGGAACAAATAGGCCTTAGTGTATACCGTACGTGTAGATGTCAGGATAGACATGGATTATGTTAACCTATAAGCTGTAAACATTACAACAATTGTAAGTAGGTTTTAAGAACAGTTTGTGGGTAATATTTCCAGTTATTACTTATTAGTGAGATGAATATTATTATTATTGTAAAATGTCTGGTATTTTACTGTAGGTGGCCTCGTGCCCGTGATATACCTTCGTTATAGTGGTGGATAACCTGTCAACATTGCGTTGCATGAACTGATTGACTACTTATTCGAAGCCTGTTTTGGGAATCGTGTTAGAAGTTACATGCAGTACTCACACTTATCATTGCAAAATACAGTTTGGAACAGTTTACCAATTCAAGTTGATGTGTATATTGGACAATGGATAAGTCAATGAACATTATATTGTTTTGAACTCTGAATATATATATATATATACTGTATATATGTTAGTATTCTATATGTTCAATTTATGCTTACATATTAAGTATGGTTCGTTATTACATGGACAATGTGATGAGGGTTACAAAGTAAAATAAATCTGTGAATGGTATATTGAATTTGTAATTATTTACCCGTGTGACATAAGCCAAGACATCTTTCAACAAAAGAGAGATGAAGCTTGTAGAGGTGCGATAAGAATTGCTGACGACATACAAATATTAATTACGACAAGTGTATAGTCAAAACTGCAGAATGCAAGTTTTTTGGAAACATATACACAGTAGATGGGGTTAAACCAGACCCAGACAAAGTCTCAACAATCCTAGACATGGAATCTCCGAACGACAAATCAAGTTTAAGAAGTTTCTTAGGATTGATACAGTATATTTCTTCTTGTCCGAGCTCACAGCAAATTTGCGTGAACGAAAGAGGACGTAGAATATGTATGGTCACAATCACATGGGAAGAGTTTCAGATACTTAAACAGTTTGGTGTGTAAGAAAACAAGTCTAAACTACTACAACCAACAAAAGGCTGTAACTCTGCAAGTTTACGCATCTATATTAGGACTTGGAGCCGCACTAATGCAGGAAGGTCGACCAATAGCATTCGCCTCGAAAGCATTAACGCCTGTTGAGTCTCGTTATGCAAACATAGAGAGGGAGCTGTTGGCAGTGGTATATGGGTGTGAAAAATTTCACACATACTTGTATAGAAGGAAATTTACAATCGAAAGTGATCATCGTCCACAGTAACAAATACACAAGAAAAACCTACACAAAGCACCAGCAAGACTCCAACGACTACTGCTGAGACTCCAACATACGACTTTGAGCTAAAATATAAGGTAAAGAAATGATACTCGCTGATGGCCTATCCCGAATAACCAAAATGGAGGATAATCAAATTGAAGACATGGGTATAAAGATTCATCATTTGATCAATATCAAGCCAATCAAACTAAACCAAATACGTGAGGAAACCGTTAAAGATGAAGAATTGGTAATGCTTTCCCAACAAGTAATAAATGGTTGGCCTAAGAAGATAAAACAACTCCAGATACAACTCCGTCCATATTGGTCTATAAGGCAAGATATTGGAATACAAGATGGTGTACTGTTAGCAGGATCACGAATAATTATACCAAAGTCCATGCAGAGTGAGTTGCTCAGAATTATCCATCAGAGTCACCAAGGCATGGAAAAATGTAAAACTAGAGAAAAATCAGCGGTATACTGGATTGGAATGTACAAAGACATCGAAAAGACAGTGTCAGCATGTTAAACATGCCAGAAATCCCAGCAGAAGGAGGAGATAATCCCAACACAGATGCCACCCCAACCTTGGCACACTGTAGGAGCAGATCTTTTCACATACAATCAGCAATGGTACTTGATCGTAGCCGACTACTATTCAAAATTTCCATTCATAAGAAAGCTGAAAGATCTGAGATCTGCTACAATCACTGCAATTACAAAAGTACTATTTGCAGAGCAAGGAATACCTGAAAATTTCATATGCAACAATGGATCTCAATTCACTGCAAGTGAATTTAGAAGTTTTGCAGATGAATATGGATTTGAAATTGTAACATCGTCACCACAATACCCGAGAGGACATGGATTTATCGAGAGACATGTTCAAACGATAAAGAAAACCCTTATAAAATGTAAAGAAGCTGGTCAAGATCCAAACTTAGCCCTTCTAGCAATCAGAACAACACCAATCAAAGATAACTCAAAGTCACCTGCTGAGTTATTAAATGGAAGGAAGTATAAGACAACCTTACCAAGCAAAATAAATGCTTCACCAGACCATGAAGAATCTCAACAAACATGAAATATAAACATGGAGAGAGTGAACAAGTATTACAACAAACATGCAAAGTCACTACCAGAACTCCTACAAGGACAGAATATTCATGTTCAAGATCCTTTGCGCAAGACATGGAACCAAGGAAGAGTAATCAGCACAGCTGATACACCCAGATCGTACATTATTGAAACCCCAGATGGTCGTCAACTAAGAAGGAACAGAATTAACCTTAGACCGTCACAAAATATTGGAACTCAAAACCAAGCACCATGTGCGACAAATAGGAGACCATCAATACAACCCAGAAGGATAGAAACTGAACGTAATCAAACCACACTACCAATGGCAACGATTAGAACAGACACATCGGAAAGCCATCGAAACACAGGAACAACAACAACGCCTAAACAGTGGATCAGCCCAGCACAAAACGAAAGTCAACCTACCAAATCTACAAGGACAAGACACAACATTAAGCCACCCTCCAGATACAGATGAATAGCAAGCTATATATATATATAAATGAACAATGAATGTAATTCCTGATTTTATAATTCTGAGTGATTGATAAGCGATGGACACTGAAATTATTGTTAAATTGAGTCTGATTGATAAATGAACAGTTATAAGCGATGAACATTCTGATATTGATTTTGAAATATGAACACTGACTAATTCATTGGAAATGAATGAATGTTATGAACATGTGATTGCTAAATGAACATTGTGTTTTACTAGTGTTTTGAAGTTAAAGTTTAAATAAATAAATACATAAAACAGAGAAGGGAGAGAAATAATTATAGGTAGAAAATATTGTATTTTGAAAAAAAACCCCCAATAATAATGACCACGAAACAAATGTACGCTGAATTGATAATTTAATACCAGTTAATCACATAGACAGCAAATACAAACTATAGTTGAAATTTATTTTAATGTTGATTTAAAATTTTATAAATTTAAAAGAGTAGAATACTGCAATACCATAATTGTCAGTTTAGTCACCTTAAAACTTGCAGTACTACTGTATAGAGAAATATAAAAGCTTCTTAATTTAGAAAGAGGGATGTTGCATAGTTACGCATCACGCGCACGATCATTATAATTATATGCACCGCCACACAGGGATGGAGCAGACATTACGCTACACCCGAGACATGAATAAAACAGTACAGTTGAGTTTAATTACACTGTATATACGAGTCGTTTATTGTCCCACAGCAACAACAACAAATATAACAACCATGTCCCTGGATCAATTACTGGACCTAGGAAGGGCACTAGAAACTTCCGAGGTACAAGCGTCAGGCATGGAAAAGGTAATAAACAAGGCATGTTGTCCAACGGCACAAGCCTAAACTGAAGCCACAGCATGAAAAGAAGAAAGCCAATGGTGCAAAATGCAGATTTTGTGGAGGCAGCTTTCCACACAAAGATTCATGCCCGGCATTTGGTCAACAATGCTACACATGTGGAAAAAAGAACCACTTCAGCAACGTATGCCGACAGTTAAAACAACGAAGTAGAAACAAGAAAATACATCAAGTTGTTGCACAAGAGTCAGATGATGATTCAGACAACTGGGTGTTCACAGTCAATACAAAAGAAATACACAAGACACCAAAGATTAGCATCACGTTACACATAGATGACACAAACGTCAAGATAATGACAGTCCTAGATACAGGAGCCTCAGTAAACATAATCGGTGAGACGACATACAAAGCAATGCATCGAAAACCAAGACTCCAGAAAAGTTCAGTTAAAATATACCCATATGGCACGAAGGTGACTATCCCAATACTGGGTGAATTCTCAACAGCTGTCGAATGCAAGAAGAAAAATTAATAGGAATTGCAAAATTCTATGTGGTCAAAGGTGATACAGGCTGTCTACTGAGTTACAAGACCGCACAAGCATTGGACTTAATCCAGATAACAAACACCATAACCACGGATAACTCAAATCCACATACAGAAGGCAGTGCAAGCATCATTGGTGAATATCCAGATGTATTTGATGGAATTGGTAAGTTAAAAATATTACCAAGTCAAATTGCACATAGATGAGTGTCCAACCACAAATACAAGCACACCGACGAATTCCATTTCATGTTCGAAAGAAAGTAGAAAAAGAACTAAAACAGTTGGAAGAACAAGATATAATCGAGAGAGTACCAGAAGAACCAACGTCATGGGTGTCACAGCTTGTAATTGTACCAAAGCCCAATGATCAAGTCAGACTATGCATCGATATGAGACAAGCCAATGAAGCTATCCAGAGAGAAAGACACATTACACTAACAATTGAGGACATTATTCATGACTTAAATGGAGCAAAAATATTCTCCAAGCTTGATTTAAAATCAGGGTACCACCAGTTAGAACTACATCCAGACAGCAGACAGATCACAACACATGTCGGTCTCAGAAGATATAAGAGACTAAATTTTGGTGTATGTTCAGCAGCAGCAATCTTCCAAAATGTGATTGAGCAAGTCCTACAAGGCATATCAGGAGCTCGAAACATTAGTGACGACATCATAATGTTTGGTGCGACACAAAAAGAACATGACCAAAGCCTACATGATGTTCTGCAGAGACTAAAGAACAATGGCCTGAAATTAAATGAAAAAAGTGCACTTTCAACAGAAGCAATCTGTCTTTCTATGGTCACATATTTTCTGACAAAGGAATTTCTCCTGACCCACAGAAGATCCAAGCAATAAAAGAGGCAAAGGAAACAAGAGATGCAGGCGCGGCTTCTTAGGAATGGAATCATACGGTGCAAGATTCGTCCCCAACTTTGTAACTGTAACACAACCCTTACGACAATTGACAAAAAAAGATACAGTGTGGAAGTAGGTAAAGAATCACACAGATAGCTTCGAAAATCTGAAAGAAATACTTACTGGCGATACAGTGATGGCCTACTTCGATCCTGCAAAACAAACTGAGATGTATACAGACGCAAGTCCAGTTGGCTTATCAGCAATCCTGGTGCAGAGAGACATACATGATCAAGAAAAGACCAATATCATCGCATATGGCAGTAGAGTGCTGTCAGACACAGAAAGCAGATACTCTCAGACAGAACGAGAAGCTCTCGCAATAGTATGGGGAGCGGAACATTTCCATTTATACTTGTTTGGTAATCCCTTTGTGGTTTATACTGACCACAAACAACTCGAGCGTATTTGGAAAAAACCAAAGTCAAAGGCAGGAGCGAGAGTCGAGGGTTAAGACTTCATCCCTACAATCTGGTGATTAAATATAGACTGGGGAGTCAGAATCCAGCAGATTAACTCTCTCGCCATCCCATGCAAATAAAAGATGGATGTAACACAAGAAGCTCAAAAGTAGCTGACGAATATGTCAACTTCATAGTCAACCACACAATACCTAAAGCGATGAGCAAAGAAGAAATTCAGCAGGCGACTGAAAATGATCCAATGCTGCAGTGGGTGACAGAAAGAATAAAAGATGGAAAATGGTCACAGAACGCAATGGATGAGAATGGCAACTCACCGATAAAAAGAGCTTACTATCATGTCCATGATGAATGGACTTTATGCCCAGAAAATAAGGTCATACTACGTGGGACAAGAATGGTTATACCAGAGTCACTGCAAAAGAAAGCACTTTCCATAGCACACGAGGGACATCAATGAGTAGTGATGACTAAAAGCCTGGTCAGAGAGAAGATATGGTTCCCAGGAATAGACAGGCAAGTCGAAGATATGATCAAAGTGTGCGCAGCATGTGAAGTGACCGTACCAGCCCAAAAATTTGAGCCATTGAATATGTCCACATTACCAAGTGATGGACCATGGACAGAGCTCAGCATAGATTTTAGTGGTCCATTTCCAAATGGCTATTACTTAATGGTCGTAACAGATGATTATACCAGATACCCAGTGACAGAAACTATAACATCAGCCTCTGCAAAAACAGTAATTCCCAAGCTGGCCAATATTCTGTCAATGTTTGGGATTCCAAAGGTAATCAGAAGTGATAATGGCCCACCATTCCATAGTGAGGAATTTAAAGGATTCTCACAATATATGGGGTTCAGACACAGGAAAATCACGCCATTATGGCCAAGAGCAATCGGAGAAGCCGAACGTTTCATGCGCACCTTAAAAAAGGCAATCGCTACGGCCATAGAAAATGGATTACCGTGGGAACAGGGACTTAGTAGGTTTCTCATGAACTACAGAGTGACACCACATACCAGCAAAGGAAAGGCACCGGCTGAATTACTGTTCGGTAGATAATTCAATGTAAAACTACCAAGTAGAGTCCAAAAACCTCAAATCGATGAATACACAGTGACTAAAGATAAGCAGTCCAAAGGAAAAATGAAAATGTCTAGACAGAACATTACATACAAAGAAAGCAAACATGACGATTGGAGATGTTGTACTGGTAACGCAACAGAAAAAAAAACAAGCTGACCACTCTGTATGACAATCGACCATATACAATAATCAAAACTAAAGGATCCATGGTAACAGCAAGAAGAGGTGATGGTAAATTGATAACAAGAAATTCTTCCCATTTAAAACCAACCAGAGCACACTTTAAACCATATACTGATAACAATGAAGAAGACGACTACTTTGATACATTTGAAAACGACTATAACCCACCAATGCATGTAAACCTACATCGTCCAATGAACCAAGGAACACGTTATCCTATTCGAGAGAACAGGCGTAAACCTACGTACCTAAAGGACTATGAACATTAATAATGCATTCTTTCACTTTACTTAGACAACAGCAATTGCATTGTAGAAATAGGGCAGAATAAACCCCTAGCATTGCTGTAAGGCAAGGTAGTCCACCCTTAGCCTTTGTTCGGACAAGAACAAAGTTGTTATATTTTGTTTAAATTGTTTAAAAGTAATTTTATGACAGTTACTTGATATTTTGAAAGTTAAAAGTATTTTTATCATGTTAATGTGTTTGTAACCAGTAAAATAAACGAAAATATATAACAATCTGTTCAACTCATACAACGACAAAAGAAGCATAACCGATAATTGTATCTAACTTCATAATTCTAATAATCAGTAACGCATATTGAAATTTACACATACATGAATATATATAAATATCCAAAATTAAGGAAGGATGTAATATTCACGGATACTTATGTAAGAACAATGGCGCCACCTATTGGAAAAAAAGGGATCAACACACAGGATGTGAGTGAAGAGTACTTTATTATAAACTCGTTGTGGACACACCGACTGTGAACTTGGAAGCTGCAAATGCATAAAGAATGGATTAAGATGCACCGAGTTGTTGTGTGGTTGCCAGGGAAAATGTTAGACAAGACCTAACAAGAAGTATCCCTGTGTTCATTTATGTAAACATTAAACATATTTGTTATCGATGTTAATAATTACGAACTATAATTTATGTTTATTTGCTTAGAAATAACATGTGAAACCATGTGTATATGTAATAGAGATACAGCAATTATGTTATTGTCGCAGTCATTAATAGAGTTCACAGATTGTTGATCTTGGTGCATAATTTTCATTAAATGTACTAACATACACCATATCTGAGACAACTATACACGGAGATTGGAAACGCGACTGGATTCTATTGTTCTCTAGTTTATGAGCTCATGCAGTGCATTGATAGGTAAGATACATGTACACGCGAAATCTCGTTTGGCCCGGGCGCACTACTCACGCACTGGTCCCGAGGTCTGCCTGTACTTGGTAGCCTGGTAATATACCGCTTGTCACACGCACTTAACCAAGAGCAACATAAAGTACATTCAAGTAAACTGTAACTTCAGAATCCATTTATTGGATTGACAACTTATATTCAATCACAAACACTCTGATTGCCGGAAAATTACAACCTTGAACAGCTCTCAACCCTGGCCCAAGTGGTTTAACAAAAACAATCATGCTACAAATCTATGGGCAGCAAAACATGCACATAAATAGAACAAAATCATATTCTGGCGCTAACATACCGGCCCCTAATTGTACTTCTACAGCAGTACAATTACACTAATGAATAACAAACGAGCGCCTGTACATTCGCACTCTTAAACATCCTAATAAACACAATTACTTAGAAATATATCAATACCATACTGTAAAGATTTCAAAGAACATCTTTCAAAGTTCAACCTAACCCTTTCAATAGTCTAATACACACATATTTCCTTGTAGATTACATCGTTCAAGCAGTAAACAATCAACACCCGCTCCTGCTACTGTACTGATTAATACTTATTAACATAGCAATACATGTTAATGTCAACATCAATGAGAAATACGTAATAAAACGACAAAATCATGTTATTTTAATATCGAAATTATGAGATTAAGTACTTTAATTACTAACAAGTTTAATTAACTCAGTAAACAACTTTTATACGTACACCTATTATTTAACTGACCTTCAAAACAGTAGTGTGTTGTTTATCCATGTATATTATTAAAGTCATATCTTTTACTTGTAATAGATCGATACTTGTAATTTATGAATCTGAATTATTAGCATTATCACACTCAACCAATAGACATAGTTTAGTGACAGGACGAATCAATGATGAATTCTCAGTCCTCACTTTAACAGACCTAACGAACCCTTTATGATCATTATAAACTTCTGTTACACGGCCAAGCATCCACATATTTCTTGGACCTTGATTCATCACCTATACAACATCTCCAACGACCAGATTGCGCTTAGGACGTGTCCATTTTTGTCTTTGCTGCAACATCGGAAAGTATTCATTGACCCAACGTCGCCAGAAAACATCGGCAAGATATTGAATTTGCCTCCAGCGTCGAGTAGAATAGGTATCATCTCTCGTAAATACTCCAGCTGGAAGAACCGGCTCTGCATTTAAACGTAACAGATGATTTGGCGTCATACAAAATGTTTATTACGCTTCGAATAATCCTTTCCCAAATCCCACCATGATGCGACCCTGTAGGTGGATTGAAATACCAGTTAATCCCCCTTTTCATTAATTTCATTTGCATCTCCTGCTGATTGCATTTATGTAAAGACTCTCTAAGTTCACGTTCGGCTCCTACAAGGTTGGTTCCATTATCTGACCTGATACTACTCACGTTCCCTCGTCGTGCAGTAAATCGTTTAATTGCGTTAATACATGAAGCAGTGTCGAGAGTGTGTGCGACTTCTAAGTGAACAGCACGACTAGCCATGCACGTAAACAGCACTCCGTATCTTTTCACAGTAGTTCGGCCACGCTTGACCTCGAACGGCCCGAAGTAGTCCATTCCAGTGTCATGAAACGGAGGGTTCCCCACACATACCCGCTCTATAGGAAAATCTGCCATCTTCTGTTGACCAACTGATGGCTGGTACCTTCTACAAACCACACACTTTGAGGTAATCTGCTTTATTAAGGATGGTGCACCTACAATCCAATACTGCTGTCGCAGTTTTGCTAATATATGGTTTTTACCTAGGTGTCCATTTGTCTCGTGAATATCTCGAAGTATCAACCTTGATACATGAGAGTTTCTTGGTAATAGAACTTGATGTTTAGACATAACGTCAATGTTTGCTCTTTGGAGTCTACCACCAACACACAATAATTATTCTTTATGACCGGATCAGGCCTCCTAAGCGATGATGATTTCTTATGAAGTGAAGCAATGTCGTTTGGCCAATGCTCTTTCTGAACGAACCTTACCAATGCTTCCTCCGCCCTCCTCATATCTTGAACTGATAGATTTCCATGCTGTTTCTGCCCTTCTGGTAATCTTCCCTTGCGAACAGCAACACGCATTTGCAAGTTTTGCATTCCCACCATGATCCAGGCAATGGACTTTTTCAGCTTGCTCCATGACGAGCAACGCTCTATTACTCGGCTTAAGGGATCAACGGGTTTAACTTCTGTAGCCAGGACGCATTTCAGTTCTGGATCAGTATTCTTCAAGGTAAACTGTCCTATGTCTTTCTCATACCATTCACTCTCGTCCCGCCACAGGAATTTTGGACTTTTAATCCATCTTTCGCTCTCCAGAAACCCCTTCATCGACGTTCCCCTAGAGCAAACGTCTGCAGGATTACATGCAGTCCTCACGTGCCCCCATTACTCGGCGCAGAAGCTTCTCCAATAAGGTCTACACGGTTAGCAACAAATGTATGAAATCTAGCCGTGTCACTTTTAATGTAACTCAACACCGTGGTACTATCCGTCCAAAATCGTGAATCAATAACTGGCATCTGAAGCTCTCTTCGCAACATGGCATCTACTCTGACTGCTACAGCAGCAGCAGTGAATTCTATTCTGGGAATTGTAGCAATTTTTAACGGAGCAACTCTTGACTTGGCAAGAATTAGCCGACAATGAACATCACCATTTTTGTTCAAAAACCTGATGTACGATGCCGTTCCATAACCGAGCTCGCTGGCGTCCGAGAAATGGTGCATCTGTGCGGAGATTTGACTTCCAAATCCATGCGGTTTCAAACACCTGCTTATCCTGAATCTTTCCAGATCCCCGACTTTCGATGTCCATTTCGACCACCTCTTCGATTCTTCCTCAGGTATCTGTGCATCCCAACCCAGTTTCTTACGACAATGTTCCTGAAGTATTTGTTTTGCTGGGAGAATTGCAGGCGAGACATAACCTAGGGGATCATATATCGAGCCTAACGTAGATAACACCCCTCTTCTAGTAGTTGGTTTAGTTGACAAATTAATCTTGTATCTGAACTCATCTGATTCAGCCGACCAAAGAACACCCAACGTCCTTTCGGTAGGTAATATCGTCAAGTCAACATCCTTTACATTTTTGGCTCTTTCACAGATGGGAATAGACTCGATCACCTCTCGTTCATTACTCATCCACTTGGACAATCTAAAGCCATTTTCTTTACAAAGATTCCTTGTGTCCTTCGCACGGAGTATTGCTTCAGCATTTGTTGGTACAGACACCAAATAATCATCGACGTAAAAGTTTCTACATATGGTAGTATCGCAAACTGCCTTTTGGTACCGCCCTTTAGCATTCTCTGCTGCCTTGTGTAAAGCGTAGTTGACACACGATGGAGAAGATACCGCTCCAAGAACGTGGACGGCCATTCTATATTCTTCCAAAGGCTGGTCGACATTGCCATTTGGCCACCATAGAAACCTCATCATATCCCGGTCCTTTTCTGGTACTCGCACCTGATAGAACATGGATTCAATATCTGCTGTCAATGCTACCGGTTCTTCTTGGAATCTGATTAATACCCCAACAAGAGAACTAGTCAGGTCAGGTCCCTGTAACAATTCATCATTAAGTGACTTGCCACCATACCTGGCGCCACAATCAAACACTACACGCAACTTATGTTTCTGTCTATGAAACACTCCGTGATGAGGTATAGACCACATGTTATGGGCTTCACACCCTTCATTCTTTTCTACAGGCACTTTCTCAGCATAACCCCTATCGAACATGTCATCCATAAACTTTGTATACTCCTTGTGAAATTCAGGATCTCTTAACTTCCTTAACAGGTGAGCAGCTCTCTTCTCTGCCAAAGGTTTGTTATTAGGCATTTTCACAACCTTGTTCTTCCAAGGCAACGCTACCTCATAGTGACCTTCATTGAAACAAGTCGTCTCGTCAAGCAATTTAATAAATCTTCGGTCTTCTATAGAGCGTTGTCTTGTATCGTCTATTTTCCTCTCGCTGAAGTCCAAATTGTACATTTCTACCAACGCATCTGCCATGACCTTTGAATGAATTCTGTTAACGTGTGCTGTTTCCTTTGAAGCAATAGGGATTCCATGCACGGACCAACCTAATATTGACTTAACGGCATACGGACCTTTTCCGACACTGTTAATCACTTCAAGCGGCTCTAATGCCTTTGGTACGTTGCTTCCAATGAGAAGACCTATTTCAGCATCAATGTGTTTCAACTTAACTCTATCCAGATATGGCCAATTACGCAGGTAATTTGGCTTCATTATATCGTTTTTACTTGCAGGTATCACTTCTAAGGTGTACACATCTGGCAGCTTTATAACGTTTCCACAATCCATGTCCATTATCTCTAACTCCTGCAAAAGCCTACAATCCTGATTTCTAGTCTGATTGACAGTTGATATCCTTAGCGATCTCGCCTTAGATGACGTTTTTAACCTCCTACACAGCTCTATGGTACAAAATGATGAGTTACTGCCTTCATCCAATAAAGCATACGTGTTCAGAATCACTCCAGAATCCTTAGCTTTAACATTGACTGGAACAATGGTTGCCAAGCCGCAATCACCGGCCCCGGTAAGCCCTACTGTAGTCGTCTTCGCCGTATCCTTCCGCTCTTCGTCGGTCCGATGTAACAGTGTGTGGTGCTTCCATTTACACCCTTGCTCACATTGTGATGGCTTTGAACATCTTCTTGCTATGTGTGAGGCACCAAAACAATTATCACACAGTCTCTCCTTTCTCAAGATTTTGAGTCTTTCTTCACGTGAGTAGCGGATGAAATCTCTACACTTTTCTAACTTGTGGCTTCCTAAACAGGCTGGGCACGTAAGTCTTGTTTCCGTTGTCAAACTTACTTCCGGACGCCTCGTGGTTGTAGTAAGGCTTGTTATCCCTTTGCTGTTTGGTTTCCACTTAGGTGTATTCTTGGGATACGAACCTCCAATATTTTGTTAGCTAACTTGGCCGCCTCCTCGACGAATGATGACATACACTTAAAGTCGGGTGTGGTTAATTTCTCCATCATTGCATAGGCTTTCTTTGCCCACTTCGTTTGCAGGTGCATTGGTAAAAGCTGCTGAATTCTTAAGAGAGTTTCTGAGCTATTAATATCAGCTGAATAGCACATCTGGAAAAGAACTGTCTGGCACCTGCGCATGTCTCTAGCTAGGTCCCATAGTCCCTTACCATCATTTGGCCTAACTTGAGGACGATTCAACACCTTGCTCAGATGAGCTTTTGCAATGACATGTGCCTGACCGAATTCCTCTTTTAAGATACGCTTGGCTTCAGCATAACCCTCTGAACCTCTTAACAGCACGCAATTGGCAATACTGTTCCTTGCTTTCCCAACGCAAAATTGTATAAGATAGGTTGATCTTGATCTATCATCAATAGCTTTGCTTGCTACATTGACTTGACTTGATTAAACGCGTTAATGAAGTTCCAATATTCAAGATGGTTTCCATTCAGGTTTCGGCATGTTCATACTGAGACCAATTGCGGTTAATAAATGGGACGCACTTTCACTATGGCTTGGTTGTGATATAACAGGAGGTTTTGTGTCAGTATCTTCCTGGACTACATTTAAAACAGGCTCCTCATTTCTCCACTCTACTACTCTCTGGTCTGGTTCGTCTACTGGAAGCTCAGATAGTACACTGCCTTCATTATCACTTTGTAGCAGCTGCAACTCCGTTTCCAATGTATCTGCTCGTATTTGAGCAGCAGCCACCGCTTCCACTATCTGCAGCCTGTCCATTTCTACTTCTGCTTCAATCCTAGCTCTGTTAGCTTCAGCTTTCCTTCTGTTAAATTCTGCCCTAGCTTTAGCCACCGCCAAATCAGCTCTAGCTTGTGCAGCATTTAAAGCCAATGATGATGCTGCAGACTGTGATGACCGCACTGAGACAGGTCTTGATCTTACAGACATGATTAATGTTCGGAATAAGAAACTAAAATATATGCAAGTAATCAAGACAAAATTAAGATATGAAATTTTTAAGCTTACTATATCATACATTATCTCAATGGGAACTACTACACATCAAATACTATGTATAAAGGGCTTAATCACATAACAATAATAATTACAACTTTTAGTAAAACATACCCATTACAATTCATGGATTTGAATCCTAAGAACATACACAAAGGCACAAATAACGTCCAGTATAAATGTCCAATTATGATCAAAAGTCCATTCCCTGCTGGTATATTATCTTGAAGGTTGCCTTCACTTCACGTACTCACAGATTTGGTCCAATAGTTCTTCTATTTGACATCGACGGCGCTCCACATAGTTGCTACCAACACACATAGTCTAATTTAACTGTCCTTTGACACAAACGACGTTCCATACAAGGCCTGGTTAGACGAATACTTTAATTCTTCTCCAATTTCACACAAACACTGGTTATCAACACGTATAGACCTCTTTTACTTTCCTTTGACACAAACGGCGTTCCATACACTGCTTGGTTATACGCCTATTTCATTTCTCCTTTAACTAGACACAAACACTTGTTATTAACACGTATAGTTAAATTTTACTGTTCTTTGACAAAAACGGCGTTCCATACACTGACTGGTTACACGCCTACTTTAATTCTTCTATACTTTGTCACAAACGGCCTTCCATACTACAGCCCTGCCGGCTTTGCCACACATGCGGCGCTCTAGGCCAACGTTTTTGTTAAACTAAAGTGTACACGCGAAATCTCGTTTGGCCCGGGCGCAACACTCACGCACTCGTCCCGAGGTCTGCCTGTACTTGGTAGCCTGGTAATATTCCGCTTGTCACACGCACTTAACCAAGAGCAACATAAAGTACATTCAACTGTAACTTCAGAATCCATTTATTGTGGATTGACAACTTATATCCAATCACAAACACTCTGATTGCCGGAAAACTACAACCTTGAACAGCTCTCAACCCTGGCCCAAGTGCAAAAACGATCATGCTACAAATCTATGGGCAGCAAAACATGCACATAAATAGAACAAAATCATATTCTGGCGCTAACAATACATAAACACATATATTGCAGTTTAAATGTTTTAAATGTATGGTATGCGTACATAAGGCTACAACAGGCTGGTAATTCAGCCACCCCTACCCTCAGCCGTCCAGGGCTAGGCCTAACCGGGTCCCGACACGCGATAAAATGCCGGATTTGAAGAAACATACTAAAATTTGAACACTTTTATACATTTATAAGCACATATGTGTTCTAGAATTATTTACTACAGCAGAAGAGGTATTTATTGGTGTAGAGAAGTCATCAGGAATTCAATCATGTTCAGGAATTAAGACAATATGTATTTTTAAT